CCGGATGCGCGCGGACAGCGGGTCCAGCACGCCTCTCCTGGTCAGTGCCCGCCCCCGCTTCACCGAACCCTCACTCTCCCTTCGCAGCTTTTCTCGCTCCGCCCTCTGTGCTGCCGATTCCAAGCCGCGCCCCATTTCTACCCCACCCCATCTTATTCCGTCTCAGGGTCCCGTAAGGTGGCCAGGGAGCGTTGACTCAGATGGCCAAGCAGGGTCCAAAGTGTCCCCCTGCTTCTCCATCCATCAGGCCGCTAAGAGCCTCCAGGGGTCGGGGATGCGAGGCCGCGGGCCAGCCAGTGGTCCGGGACTGCGGCAGCCACTTGTATTTCTCTGCCTAACGGACCCAGCTCTCACCTACTCCCCCAAAACAAAATCCCCGAAACTGAACGCGGAGGCGCGCGCCGTCTGAGCGGGAACTCCGTGCAAACAGGGGAAGCCCGCCCTAATGGGGTGAGTGCGCCCACTCACATGCAGCCCGGTGAGGGGACGCAGCCGGGGAGCTGGAGCTCGGATTTGCTGCAAGCCACAGGCCTCGTTTTCTTGCGTTGGGGTGACCCCTGGTGGTCACCCAGAGTGCCACAGGGCTGTTTGCCCAGAATTCTACCCCGCCCCAGCAAAGGGGTGCAATGGAGAATTACGATGGTGCTCAGCTGGAGTGAAGAGACCCATCCTCCTGAAGTTGACCCTGAGGGTGATAGCGGGTGACAGAGCCCTCCCTACCTGGTCAAGCCACTCCGCCCTGCCCAGGGATCCTCTTCCAGAGTTTCAGCGCAGAGGTTCCAGTGGGGTTTTCTTAAGAAAGGTGGTGACCCTTACACAGGTCTCCTCCTGCTTCCCGTGTCCCTGTCCCTGGAGGTGTCTGTGGGAAAGGCCACCACCATCTACGCTCTCAATGGCTCAGAGATCCTGCTGCCCTGCACCTTCTCCAGCTGCTTTGGCTTCGAAGACCTCAGCTTCTGGTGGTCCTACAACAACAGCGAGACGTTCAAGATAGTAAGTAGCAGGGGAGGGACAGGGCAGCCCAGGTCCCCTTTCCCTTCTTTCTTCTCCCCCTTCCTCCCAGCCCAACCTCGGGTCCCTTCCGGACGGAGCCCACCATGGTGGTCCCCAGAGCCGCCTTTCGTCACCTTTCTCTCCGACCAGAGCCAGACTGGAAGGATCTGTGTGGGCACGATGCTTAGGTGGTGATGCCAGGATCGGGGTCTGCTGGAATACTTGGCAAGGTTCCTCTGTGTGATCTCAGAAAACACCTGGCGCTTGGATTGTGTGTGCCAAAATCAGTAATTTGGAAGGCTTGGAGAGAGGGAGCGAGAAGAGTCCAAGAGAAAGGAAGGCTGAGAAACTGGACTTGGAGAGGAAGGAGCAGGAAGTTAGAGATGAGGTCTGTGGGCAGCCGGGGGACGTGGGGAGAATCAGTGGGCACGCACTCCGAAATCCAGTGGGGGACCCCACTGGAGACGAATCCAGGGAAGCCCTGGGAGACCATTTCCAGCCATCAGTAGGTGCTGACCTCAGGGTGGTCGTGGACAGAGCTGTGGGGTCGATCCAGGTCTTGAGGGGAGCCAGATTTCAGGTAGGCAGGGCACATGCGTCAGCAAATGGGGGAGCGACAGATGGAAACAAGTGTGGTCATCACAGGAGTCACTACTTCAAAGACTTTTTAAAGAGAGAGTTTTGCAGTAGGGCACATGTGCTCACCAGAGAGACAGAGAGACAGAAAACAAGAAATCACCTCCCGGGGGCATGGCCATGCCGTAGTCCCTTCTTGATTCTCTTCCTGGGATTTTGGGCACACACGCACACGCACCTGGAGTGAGTTTGAAGCCACTGGGCTCAGGACTCGAACCCCAGCTGACCAAGTGAGAAGTCCAGTGATGTAACCATTATGCCATCTGCTGGCCCAAAGACTTTCATAGAGAGAGCAGTAAGGGCTGTGCTCCGTTCCAGGGAGACCTTCCCAGGAGGAAATGGGTTCACCCTGGAACAAGGTTAGACGGACAGAGCTCATGGCCTGCAAGCGGAGGCCAGCAGGAGGAGGTGGCTCTGACCTCAGGCTCTTCCTGGACCTGGGCAGGGGAGGGAGGCACCCGAGGAGTGGGCTGGCAGGATGTCATGACCTTTGCCACCCCTGGTTCTTTTGCTGCCCCCAGCTCATACATGGGGTCGTGAAGAATGAGAAGTCCAACCCCAAGCTGAAGTTGATAGCGGATGACCGCATCACCCTGGAGGGCACCACCAAAGAGAAGATGAACAACCTGTCCATACTGCTGAGGGACCTGGACTTCAGTGACACGGGCAGGTACACCTGTCAGGTGAAGAACCCCAAGGAGAAGGATCTCCAGCACAATGCCACCATCTTCCTACAAGTCGTTGATAAAGGTGTGTCGTGGGGGACAAGGGCGGTGTGGAGGGAAGGGCTCGGGGTACCCGACTCGGTGTTAGGGAAATGATACCATGGACTGTGTTGACTTAAAACAATTTGTAAAGAAAGAATGAGTGTATTTAACTTTATTTATTTATTTATTTATTTTGGAGAGGTTTTTGCTATAGGGCGCGTGCACGTCCCAGAGAGACACAGAGAGACAGGGAGACAGAAAGTGAGAAATCACCCCCCAGGCAGGATGGCCACACTACAATCCCTTGGAATACTTGGCAAGGTTCCTCTGTGTGATCTCAGAAAACACCTGGCGCTTGGATTGTGTGTGCCAAAATCAGTAATTTGGAAGGCTTGGAGAGAGGGAGCGAGAAGAGTCCAAGAGAAAGGAAGGCTGAGAAACTGGACTTGGAGAGGAAGGAGCAGGAAGTTAGAGATGAGGTCTGTGGGCAGCCGGGGGACGTGGGGAGAATCAGTGGGCACGCACTCCGAAATCCAGTGGGGGACCCCACTGGAGACGAATCCAGGGAAGCCCTGGGAGACCATTTCCAGCCATCAGTAGGTGCTGACCTCAGGGTGGTCGTGGACAGAGCTGTGGGGTCGATCCAGGTCTTGAGGGGAGCCAGATTTCAGGTAGGCAGGGCACATGCGTCAGCAAATGGGGGAGCGACAGATGGAAACAAGTGTGGTCATCACAGGAGTCACTACTTCAAAGACTTTTTAAAGAGAGAGTTTTGCAGTAGGGCACATGTGCTCACCAGAGAGACAGAGAGACAGAAAACAAGAAATCACCTCCCGGGGGCATGGCCATGCCGTAGTCCCTTCTTGATTCTCTTCCTGGGATTTTGGGCACACACGCACACGCACCTGGAGTGAGTTTGAAGCCACTGGGCTCAGGACTCGAACCCCAGCTGACCAAGTGAGAAGTCCAGTGATGTAACCATTATGCCATCTGCTGGCCCAAAGACTTTCATAGAGAGAGCAGTAAGGGCTGTGCTCCGTTCCAGGGAGACCTTCCCAGGAGGAAATGGGTTCACCCTGGAACAAGGTTAGACGGACAGAGCTCATGGCCTGCAAGCGGAGGCCAGCAGGAGGAGGTGGCTCTGACCTCAGGCTCTTCCTGGACCTGGGCAGGGGAGGGAGGCACCCGAGGAGTGGGCTGGCAGGATGTCATGACCTTTGCCACCCCTGGTTCTTTTGCTGCCCCCAGCTCATACATGGGGTCGTGAAGAATGAGAAGTCCAACCCCAAGCTGAAGTTGATAGCGGATGACCGCATCACCCTGGAGGGCACCACCAAAGAGAAGATGAACAACCTGTCCATACTGCTGAGGGACCTGGACTTCAGTGACACGGGCAGGTACACCTGTCAGGTGAAGAACCCCAAGGAGAAGGATCTCCAGCACAATGCCACCATCTTCCTACAAGTCGTTGATAAAGGTGTGTCGTGGGGGACAAGGGCGGTGTGGAGGGAAGGGCTCGGGGTACCCGACTCGGTGTTAGGGAAATGATACCATGGACTGTGTTGACTTAAAACAATTTGTAAAGAAAGAATGAGTGTATTTAACTTTATTTATTTATTTATTTATTTTGGAGAGGTTTTTGCTATAGGGCGCGTGCACGTCCCAGAGAGACACAGAGAGACAGGGAGACAGAAAGTGAGAAATCACCCCCCAGGCAGGATGGCCACACTACAATCCCTTCTCCTCCATTCTCTCTCAGGATCTTGGGCATGCACGCACATGTGCCTGGCGTGAGTTTAAGCCACTGGGTCCGGGACTCGAACCATGGTCAACTACATGGGAGTCCAGTGACATAGCCATTATGCTAACTTCTGGTCCCTTTATTTATTTATTTTTAATTTGACCATAGAGAAACAGAGCGAGAGAGAGAGAGAAAGTGAGAAAGCAAGTCACCAGGTACAGGACTTGAACCGTGGTCAGCTATGCAGGAGTCCAGAGCCCTGAACCACCATGCCACGTGATGTCCCCAGACTTTTTAAAAAACTTTTATATTATGCTTTTATGAGTTACTGGAGTTCCATCTTTTTTTTTTTTTTTGGGGGGGTTTTTGCTATAGGGTGCATGCGCTCGCCAGACAGACAGAGAGAGACATAGAGACAGAAAGCATGAAATCACCCCCCAGGGGGCATGGTCACGCCGCAATCCCTTCTCCTCCATTCTCCTCTCGGGATCTTGGGCATGCACACACACATGCCTGGCATGAGTTTTAAGCCACCGGGTCTGGGATGCGAACCGTGGTCGACTACGTGGGAGTCCAGCGACATAGTCATTACCCTAACTGCTGGTTCCCTGGAGTTCCATCTTGAAGCTCCAAGAACCCAGCTTGAATGAGTTCTGCCATAGAATAGCTTATGAAAGATACATAGCCTCTCTAAGCCTTGTTTTTCTCATCTGTGAAATGGGACCCATTCCCCTAGGGTTGCAGTGAGAATCAGAGACGTATGTGGCATGTTTCATGGCTGGTAAAGTTGTCTGTCTAGGGTGACGTGTCTCTCTAAATGTTACAATTGCATGTTCTGTTAGTGACATCTAATGTTGGGTATTGCACTAAAAAATGCTAGGAGGGATACTGAGTGTCCTTCCTTGAGGGATTTATGGTTCGGGGTAGAGAGAAGACAGATAAGTGGATAATTGAAATGGGGACAAGGCCGCTGCATACCCCAGTGGAGGTACAGAAAACAGAGATGGGAGAAGGCGTGGTCACTGCCCTCTGGGAGCTTGTATTCTAGCTGGGGGTTCCAGTCTGATGGGGGGAGGGGGCAGTTAGATAAGGAGGGTGTGGAGATGAGGACCCACGTGGTCACGTGGCTCCAGACACTGACAAGGGTTGGAGGGGAAGGAGTGAAAACTGAGGCTGGAGGGACCAGCAGTTAGCGTAACGGCTATGTCGCTGGACTCCCACGAAGTTGACTGCGATTTGAGTCCCAGACTCGGTGGCTTAAACTCACGCTGGGTACGTGTGCGTGCATGCCCAAGATCCTGAGAGGAGAATGGATGAGAAGGGATTGTGGTGTGGCCATCCCCCCTGGGGGATGATTTCTCTCTATCTTTCTGTCTCTTTCTTTCTGGCAAGCGCATGCACCCTATAGCAAAAACCTCTCCAGAAAAAAAAAAAAAAAGGAAAAGAAACAAAAAGAAAACCGAGGCTGGAGGAGTTGGGCTGCCCTCCAGGAGGCAGAAGCAGAGAGAATGGCAGGGGAGCTGCTCAGTGTCTGTGTGCAGCCGGAGGGTCACTTCTCCTGGCCACGTGGAGTTCTGGACAGGGAGACACCTCAAACCCGGTTTTGGCTCAGCCGTGGGTAGAATGGGAGGCAGCTTTTTCTGAGCCGGGAGCTGTCTGGGTCAGGTCTGCACATAGCGTCATCTCTTGGTGTCTGTCTGGGCTCCTGTCACCCATTTGTGCTCAGTGTTGTCAGGAGGGACGAGAAGGGAAGGGAGCCAACATTTCTGTGCATTTCTGGGTGCCAGGCCCCGAGGCAGGCGCCCTCCCTTCCCTTGCTCCTGTGCTCCTCAAAGTCCGTTTGAGATGAGTCTTCTCTCCGTTTACAAACTCCTTCGTCCATTTATGTTGCAAGTTTTACTGAGCTCCCGCATGTGGTGGACATGGTTCTCGGTGCTGAGGACATGGCACGATTCCTGTTCCTCCTCTCCTAGGCAGGGGACATACAGAATAACAAAACAAAGGGTACCTTGTCTAAGAGGACATGATTAGTGTCATGGAGAAAAATAATGGCAAGAAGGCAGGTGGGGGACCAGTAAGATGACTAGGGAGGGCATCCCTAGGAAAGTGACATGGGGGGTACATCTGATGGGTCACAGAGGTAGCCTTGAGGATGTGCCAGAGGAACGGCAAGTGCAGAGGCCGTCAGACAGATGCTTGCAGAGCAGCGAGGAGGCTGGTGTGGCTGGAGCAGAGCACGTAGTGAGATGTGAATCGGATTGAGCCAGGGTGTGGGGCCCTGTCAGTGGGAGCAGAGGCGTCAGGACCAGAACAGCTCACTCTAGCCACTGTGCCAAGAGCAGGCAATGGCGTAAGGAGGCCAGTTAGGAAGCCACGGCTTGCATCTGGGCAAGAGGTAGAAGGTTCTACAAGTTAGAGCCATCAGCCTTCTCAGGTAGATTGGTTCTGAGGTTTGGGAAGAAAGGATTGAAGGTGACTCAGGAACTGGAAGGATGGGGTTGTTCTCAGCAGAGGGTGGGGAGGCTGCGGGTGCAGCTGGTTAGGGATGTCAGGGTTCAGAGTTCAGATGAGGCAACTAAGGCTAGAAGAACCCCACGGTCTGCCTGACCTGACCAGTTAAGTCTTCCGCCCACCTCAGGGAAACTGGAGGAAGCCCCTTGCTTTTCTCTCGTGGCCATCGGAGACCTAGAAGAAGCACTGGAGTTCCCACGCGGCAGTTTGGAGGCCACGCCTGGACTTAAGCCTGCTGTTGGGGACTCCAGTTCTATGAACTGCAGAACTGGGTGCCTGTGGGAGGCTGTGTGTGAGGAGGGGGCGGGCCCTTGGTCTCAGCTTCTCCTCTTCCTATGTAGGCCCGGGAAGAGCTGGGGCTCAGGGGAAGGGACATAGCCCAGATGCCAGCAGGTGAGCACTGCCCTGGTGCTCGGCCCCCGGTGACCCCTGTTCCCCTCTCCCTGCCTCCCCTTCCCACTCTGGCCACCAGTGGAGGAAGTGGACAACACAGTGACCCTCATCATCCTGGCCGTGGTGGGCGGGGTCATCGGGCTTCTCATCTTCATCCTGCTGCTCAAGAAATTCATCGCCTTCGTCCTCAAGAAGACTCGGGAGAAGAAGTGAGTGGCCCTGCAGGCACATGCCTGTCCCCATGGCCTGCCGCCCATGCTCACCTCCTGTTCCTTGTCCGCTTTCATCTGTCCACCTCCTCCCCACAGCCTCCAGTCCCCTCGGTCTCCTCATGCTACCCTCTCTCCCATCCCTGCCACTCTTCTCCTGTTCCCAGTCCTCCCCGTCCTCCTGAAATGCATTTATTGAGTACATGGAATCCATTTAGGTTACACAAGGGGGTTTCTAAAAGTTTATGGGAAGTGGAATGAAAGTACAAGTTAACGTTGGTGCAAAAAGTTTAGAAATGCATGCATACCTTTTCTTAAAGAGAGATTTTTGCTATAGGGCATGTGTGCTCACTGGAGAGACAGAAAGACAGAAAGCAAGAAAGCGCCGCCCCCCCTCCCCTCAGGGGGGATGCCACAATCCCTTCTCCTCCATTCTCCTCTTGGGATTTGGGGCATGCACGCACATGTACCCAGTGTGAATTTCAAAGCTTCAGGTCTGGGACTTGAACCATGGTCAGCCATGTGGGAGTCCAGCGACATAACCATTATGCCATCTGCTGGTCCCATGCATACGTTTTTTGTAATGCACACTCCTGTGAACTTGTCGAACACCCCGTGGACGTGCAGTCTGCTTTCTCCTCCTTGTCACACTGTCTTCCTCCCACTCAGTTTTTCTCTCCTTTTCTACTTCCTGTTTTTATGTGCCAGAAAACCTAACGCTCTACACAGGACTGAGGACATCTTTATATTTTATTATTTTTTTAATCAGAGGAAATCTGAGATTCCATGTACAGAAACTCTACAATGGGAAGCCCCTTCTAGGGAGATGGGAGTAAAAATTGCAGAAGCCAGATGGGAGAGGTTAGAAAAAAAGTTTAGCAAAGCTGATTCGGTGTCTTAGGAAGCCCTACGATCAGTTCAGGTATGAAGATAGACATCGCTGCGGAGAAGGGGAGGAAGATGGGGGAGGTCAGAGGGTGCACCCTCCAGGCCCAGAGTTTCCGGAAGCACTATGTAGACTCCAGAGAGGCAGGTGGACCCCACAGAACTAGAGCAGGCAGCGGCATTGGACGGCTGTGTTCTGAGCGAGACGGGCGAGCTGAGGCGGGCAACCTCAGGAGCAGGGGCGACAGTGACACTGGCACGACAGGGAAGGGCCCTCTGCTCAGCTCCTGTCTGCTGCTGTTGTGAAGAGGGAATTTGGCTGGAAAGAGCAGAAATGACCTTGGGAAGAGGGGAAGGAAGCTGAAGCAGGGAGGGTATGAAAGAAGTAGCACTGGGGCGTGGGGATTGGTGGTGGTTGGGGGGACCCCTGGCTAAGATGAGGAATTTGTGGGTTGTCTGTCTGCCTCATGGCCAGAAACTGCGAAGGTTCTGCTGATCTTGAGAGGGATCAGAAGCATGAAACTTGATCAAGTTTGGATTTTTTTTTTTGAGAGGTTTTTACAAGAGGGGGTATGTGCTCGCTGGAGAGACAGAGAGACAGAAAGTGAAAAAAATCACTTCCCAGGAGGAATGGCTATGCCTCAATTCCTTCTCCTCCATTCTCCTCTCAGGATTCTGGGCCTGTATACAGATGTTCTCGGTGTGATTTTTAAATTGCTGGATCTTTAGTCAACTACGTGGGAGTCCAACAACATAACCATTATGCCATCTGCTGGTCTCAAGTTCAGAATTTAAAAAAAATATATAATTGCCGGAGGGTGCAGATGCACCAGAGAGAGACAGAGAGACAGAGAGAGGGAGAGAAGAAGAGAGGGACAGGGAGGAGGAGGAAGCCCCTTCTTCAGGGGGGTGTGGTTACACCACAATACCTTCTCCTCCACTTTGTCATCCTGCTGGGATTTGGGGCACACACGTGCTTGCACCCTGTGTTTCTCATCCACCAGAGTTGGGCTTCAAGCCACAGTGGGCCATGTGGGATCTAGCTCCCTCAACCGCTAGGCTATGGGGCCAGCCTGATCAGGTTCTGTTTTTATTTTTGTTTCTTTTTTTTTTTTTCATATGGTGTGTATGCTTATCAGAGAGGGGTATGCTTATCACAAACAGACTGTGAGACGGAAAGCGAGAAATCACCCCCTGGGGGGGATGGCCATGCTATGGTCCCTTCTCCTCCATTCTCCTGGGATTTCAGACATGCGTGCACACGTGCCTGGCATGACTTTCCAGCCGTCAGGTCCAGAAATTGAACTGTGGTTGGCCATCAGCCATCAGGTCCAGAAATTGAACTGTGGTTGGCCATGTGGGAGTCCAGGGCCTTAACCAGTATGCCACCTGCCGCCCCCCCCCCCCAGGTTCTGTTTTTAATGACCAGTCTTACCACTGATTGTAAGCAGAACTGGAGGGCAAATTGTTCAGCATATACATTGTTTTTAAGAATTAAATTTTGTTTAACTTTATTTATTTTAATTTGATCAGAGAGGGACAGAGAGAGAGAGAGAGAGTAAGAAAGCAAGCTGCCAGGTCCAGGACTTGAACCACTGCCAGCCATGTGGGAGTCCAGTGCCTTTAACCACCATGCCACCTGCAGGCCCCCAGCATATATTTTAAAAGCACTTAGGAAGAGCAACAGTGATCCTTCAGAGCCACCCAGGTTCATCACAAACGAGGTGTCCTGAACCTCTTCTTGACAGGGCACTGGTAGATTGGGGGATTCCTGTAGATACCACTTCCTGTCCCTCAGCAAGTGCCTCCCACGTGTTCTCTCCGCCAGGCATCTTTATACAACACCCATCATTTTCATTTTCAGCTGAGTAGAGGGGGATCAGAGTGGCTAAGTGACTCTCCCAAGCCGCACTGCTAGTAAGTGGCAGAGCTGGGATTTGAACTCTCACTTATCTGGTCAGAGCTTCAAAACTCAAACCATTGCTACTGTACCCTGCTGACTCATTGGGCTTACCTGGAGTCCCTTCTTTTCATTCAGAGGCTATTTTTGAGGTACTCTGTGCAAGGCGCTGGGCTGGGTGCTATAGGACGTCCTGGAAAGCATGAGACGCCCTAAAGTAAAAGGGATATTTTTGTACGCAAGTGAGGGACCCCAGGTCGAGCTGATCAGCACCGGAGAATCAGTGAGATACAGCGCAGGACAGAAGGTGGACTGCTGGGAAGTTTCTCTGGCCGAGGAGGTGTTTGCGGTAGTCCTTGTGAGCTGGATCTATTGTGAGCCCTGGGGAGGGAAGGGTGTTCAGAGGGAGGATCCCACCCCCCCCACCTTCCCGCCCCCCATTCAAAGTCAGAGAATCTAAGGAATGAGCGTGTATCTGGAGAACATGGCCTATTGTTTGTTGAGAGAGCGGGAGCGTAGTGGGGAGGAAAAGAATCCTGCAAAAGGGCTTGGGTCTTAAGGCCCAAGGGGTGTGCCTGAGATTGGCTTCTCTCTGACTGCACGGGAGCTGGCGGGGGAGCTGGTGAGAGCTTGAGCTCACAGGGCCATGGCACCATCAGAAAGCTTTGGGGGAAAGGGTCCACAGGGCAGAGGACTGGGTGAGGAGAGGTTGGGGCTGGGGACAGGCCCAGGGAAGCCTGAGGGGATCCCTGAAGGGTGAGGAAAGCCTGCGTTTCAGCATCAGGTGGCTTCTTGAGACAAAGGAAGTGTCTGATGGGGCCTCCTGACCCACTCGTGGCTTTCACATGCAGGCGTGGGTCCTTCTGTCTGGACTTTCTCCTTTTCCTCCTCATCTTTCTTGGTTTTGGTTAACACTTTCAAAAAGGCTTCTCTGTCCCTTAGAGGGAGCTTTCCTAGGTTGGGACTTCCTTTGGTATGAGGGGTCTTCAAAAGTTCACACACAGTACTGTGAAAGCGCTAAGCGTGGCAGTTCATTTCGTGGGAGACCGTGCACATGTGTGTGTGCACCCGTGCATGAGAGAGAGAGACAGAGGGAGAGAAACCCTGGACAGGATCTGTCACAAGGCGCTCCCCTGCCTTTAGTCCTCCAGCTCCTCAGGATCTTGGGTGCACCTGCAACCAGAGTGTTTCAGGTCAACCTGGGATCTGATCCCGTGATCAGCCATATGACTTCCAGCACTGCAGATCAGCCTGGTACTCCGGTACTGCCTGCGCCAAACTTGGACTGTTTTTTTTTTTTTTTTTTTTTTTTAAGAGTTTTTTGCTATAGGGCACGTGCGCTCACCAGAAAGACAGAGAGAGACTGAGACAGAAAGCAAGAAATCACCCCCCAGGGGGGATGGTCACGCCATAATCCCTTCTCCTCCATTCTCCTCTCGGGATCTTGGGCACGCATGCACACGCGCCCAGCGTAAGTTTAAGCCACCGGGACTAGGACTCAAACTACATGACTACATGGGAATCCAGCGATGTAGCCATTACGCTAATGTCCCCAAACTCAGACTTTAATTCCATTTCCATGACCTTTTGAAGTCTCCTCGTACATCTCCCATCCTCCGTTTACTACTCTGTATCTCAGTCTCTAGCTTGCTGTCCTTCCCTGGAAGTGTGCACGTTTCCCGAGAGCAGGCGCCATGGAAAACTCGACTCCCCTGTGGCCTGACAGAGAGCCGGTACCCTGTAGGTTCTCGGTGGTAGAGAAGTAGGGGTGGCGTGGAAACTCAGGGGCACGGTGCTGCGGGGGTGATTGCACCTCAGGAGCAGACATGATAGCTAGACAGGTCGAACATCTGAACAGAGGTCTGTAGTGGTTTGCCGCAGGCTCTGCCCAGTCTTTTTTTTCTTTTTTAATTTTGAGAGAGTTTTGCTATAGGGCATGTGTGCTTGCTGGAAAGACAGACAGAAAGCGAGAAATTGCCCCCGAGGGGGGATGGCCACGCCGCAGCCCCTTCTCCTTCATCCTCCTGTTGGGATTTTTGGCATGCATGTACATTTGCCTGGCGTGAGTTTCAGGCTACTGGGTCTCGGATTCAAACCACTGACCACGTGAGAATCCAGCTCCTCACCCGCTATGCCACCTGCTGGTCCCTGCTTGTTTCTTATTATTATTAATTGAACCACACTAGGGATGGTGTACTCACCACATTTCTAGACTATGGACTAAACCCTGAAGGTGAAATTGATGAGGACAAAAGATTCAGCCCTTCCTGAAGCCTCAGCGCCAGCTGCACAGGGCAGGGTGAGGGGCAGACTCTGGAGAAAGGTCGGAGTGACCAGTGGTCAGGTGGGCAGTCCCTGGAGAGCTCTGTCTGTCCTGCCCACACTGTCGTGCCAAGACAGCCATGTCAGGCTCAGGGCGTTAGGGCGCTCCTGCCCTCCATCCCTCCATCTCCCACCCTGCTGCCTCTGCCCTGCCCCACACCTTCACCCACACCCATGCCCTCGGTGCCAAGCCCACTGCCTGCTCCACTCCTGCCGTGGACTCTGGTCACAGACAGCTCGGGGGAAGGCCTGGAGGGCTCTGCGGGAGGAGCTCTGTGCCTCCAGTGCACTTGCTGACCTGGGCCCTCCCCTCTGGCGTGGCCCCCTCGGAACTAACTAACCCTGGCATCAGTGCCTGGCACCCCTTGCCTCCTGCCATTGCGAAAACTAGGTAGCAGCCCTGGGTTATGGAGAGCCGCCTGTGTGCCAGGCACTGTGTACGTGCCCACTTACCCCTCACGGCAGCCCTCTGAGAAGGTACCGTCATCTGTTTTACAGGCGAGGAAACTGAGGCACAGGGGTGTCAGGCAGCTTGGCCTGTTGCTCCTTAGCTCTGCGGAAGGCAGGGAGGAGCCATGAGGCTGGGCACTGGGGGCCGTGGCTTCCTCCTCACCAGTGTCCCCTCTCCTCCCCCCTCTAGGAAGGAGTGTCTCGTGAGCTCCTCAGGGAATGACAACACGGAGAATGGGCTCCCTGGCTCCAAGGCTGAAGAGAAACCACCCACAAAAGTGTGAGCCCCACTCCGGGCCCAGCAGGGAGCCTCCCTTTCTGACGATGGAACCGACGCTTGAGCCTGTCCGTAGAACCCACGTGCCTGAGACTTCTGCTTGGCCCACGCTGTCGTCTTCCTGCGCAGGGAGAACTGGGGTCCTGCCCCACCTGCCCCACCTCTTTCCCAGCCAGGGCTCCCCAGGGACAAGGGCTGGCCAGGGACGGGGCCTGTGGAAGGTTTGGCAAGGGGAAAGGAGGTGGGGTAGCTTGGAGGGGCTGGCCCCCTAACCTGGGTAGATGGGGTGTCCTGTGGTTTATTCCCTCTGTCCCAGCAGGTTCTTGTTTTTTTTTTTTTTTTTTTTT